AGAAAATGAAAAAATGGAAACAGTCTTTGTAAATAGGGAGGGATGGAGGGGTTGAAGGGAGGGCAGGGGAAGGGGGAAAAATAAGAACCAAGATAGTATGTAAAGGTGCATATCTCCAATGATGAATGTCATTATGTTGTACACCTAAAATGTACCAATACAAGGATATACAAAAAAGAAAAAAGAAAGGAAGCTGTAGTTAGTGTGGATGAAATAAAAATCCTTCACTACCTCAAACCAAAAAAGCCTTACAATTGATCCTCACTCTTCAAAAGTCAACTCAAAATGGATTAAATGCTTACACATAAGACCTAATATTGTAAAGCTATCAGGAGAAAACATGCGAGAAAATCTTCTTGACTTTGGTATAAAGATTTTTTTATATAACCCCCAAAACACAGGGAAAAAAAGCATAAATAGATGAGTGGAACTGCATAACACTAAAAATCCTCTTCCAAGCAAAGGAAGTAATTAATAGAGTGCAAAAAAAACCCCACATATTGGGAGAAAATATTGTGAACCATAGATGTGACAAAGGTTTTAACATCCAAGACATTAAAGGCGCTCAAACAAGTCAATAACAAGAAAACAACCTGATTTCAAAGACGTTTTTCAAAAGAAGACATACAGGTGGCCCAAAAGTGTATGAAAAAAAATCCTCAGTATCACCAGAAAAACACATTGAGAGATGTCAGTCAAAGGATACAAAATTTCAATTAAGAGAAATAAGCTCAGGAGATCAATTACACAATTAGGTGACTATGATTAATAGCAATGTATTTTACACTTGAAAATTGCTAAGGGAACAGATTTTAAATGTTCTCACCACAGAAAAAATAAGCATTGGACTTAATGGATGTTTTAATTACCTTGACTTAGACATTCCATGATGTGTACGTATACCAAAACATTATGTTCTATACTATAAATATATATATGATTTTTATTTGTCAATTTAAAATTTGTTCATACTATTCAAAGTTTTCAATAAATACATGTGCGTTCACACCCACTCGAGTTAGCTTATTTATGACTTTCACCTGCACCAAATAAACCATGGGACATAAAGACAGATGAAATATTTCTCTCCAGGTTTACTTCAGATTTTGCAGGGTCAGGAAGTGTTAATGTCCCTCCAAATTCCCACAAAATCTACCAGCAATGAGGGGTGTTTTCCTCATTACCTAAGTGGGCAGGAGAAGACAACGGCCACCAGCCATAAGTAAGTGTCAACAGAAGATGTGGTGCCTCAGCCAACATGGAAGTGATCATCCTCCAGAGCAGAATTCCAAACAAACAAATGGAAAACCTAGCAACTGAAGGACCAGGATGGGAAGATCAGGAACACAATTCTATTCTCCACTGATCTTTCAAAAATTGTGAAAATATAAGCAGAAAAATGTCTCAGAAACTTCCAAACCTGCCTTGGCAAAATAGCCCAAACCATGATGCTAAACGTTTGCTCTGTAATGGACGGATGAGCTTTATCTTCTCAGGGTGGAAATAAAGGATGATTCACTCCCACATTTACAGTGTAATAATGAGCCTGACACTGCCCCACCCGACCCATTTCTCAGATAACCACCAACCCCAGGGCAACTGCCCTCCTACAGAAACGAGCCTGGCAAAGTTAGTTATTAATTAGGAAAAATCATCCAATTATGCCAACTTGCTGAGACCAGCAAGCTATGTTTTACTCGATGTAGGCAGAATTTCAGCCTGGACACCTTGGGAATTGTCTATAAAAAGGGAAACGCAGCAGTTGAGGGGAGAAGGCGCTGCACCCAGGCTTGCACAAGTTCTGTTCGGAGCCTCACCCGTGTGCCCTGATCATGTCTCTTCGACTCTCCAGTGGATCCAGGAGGTCCAGTCCCCGGTCTGGCACAGGATCGCTAAGGCTGTCCAGTGGAGGAGCCAGCTTTGGAGCTGGAAATGCTTGTGGCATCCCTGGCATTGGAAGCAGCTTCTCCTGCGCCTTTGGGGGCAGCTCCTCCATGGGAAATGCAGGGACCGGCAACCCCTGTGCTGGCTTCGCTGTGAATGAGGGCGGCCTGCTGTCCGGCAACGAGAAGGTGACCATGCAGAACCTCAACGACCGCCTGGCCTCCTACCTGGACAACGTGCGCGCCCTGGAGGAGGCCAACACCGACCTGGAGCAGAAGATCAAGGGGTGGTACGAGAAATTCGGACCCGGTTCTTGCCGAGGCCTGGATCATGACTACAGCCGATACTTCCCTATAATCGAAGATCTCAAAAACCAGGTGAGAAATTATATTTTGCAATCACATGTGTGCAGTTGTGTGTCTAGATCTCTCTTCACTGAATTCTGAAAACATCAGCCTCCCTTTTGTGATTTCCTGGAGGGAGTGTCAGCTTCACAGTGGAATAGCACTAGGTGGGCTCCTTGGTTACCTCATGATGAAAATGCCACCGACTATAAAACTGTATCCATTTTGGCTATTTCCATTTCCTCGCCTGTAGAAGAATACTTTGTGCCCATTCTCACTGTGATGAACTGCCTTCCAAAGTCCCTCCTCCCCTTTCTAGATCATTGCCTCCACCACCAGCAATGCCAACGCCGTGCTGCAGATCGATAACGCCAGGCTGACTGCTGATGACTTCCGGCTCAAGTAAGCTAACTCCCAGGGCAGAAAGAATCCATGATGATTAATGCAAAGAGCTCAGTCAGACTTATTTTGAATCCAACTCTAGGGCTGGTATTTAGCTCAGTGGTTCTGCTGCTGCCCTTGCAAGCACAAGGGCCTGAGTTCAATCCCCAGTACCGGAAAAAGAAATGAATACTAATAAGACTCTAGATTTTAGCAACTCTTACTCCAAAAAATGTAAAACACTTGGATTTAAAATAAGCAGGATAGGGTCGGGGATTTAGCTCAGTGGTGCCGCTGCCTGCCTCACAAGTGCAAGGTCCCGAGTTCGATCCCTGGTACCAAAAATTAAAATTAAATAAACAGGATATTATCCCTATTCTGCACTTTGGCTAGTTTCAGTAAACTGCATAATACTAGTATCCAGTAACCTACTTGTTTTACTCTCAAATACCTCAACATCTTTAAATTATTATTAAACTTTGAAGACATCTCTTATGGCCAAATCTGTCCCTTCTCAACCACAGAATCCTAGCATTTATCATCAATTGGTGACCCTTTCCCGCCAGGTAACATACTGGAAAATCTTTAATCTTTTTTTCAGGTATGAAAATGAGCTGGCTCTTCACCAGAGTGTGGAGGCTGATGTCAATGGGTTACGAAGAGTTTTGGATGAAATCACCCTGTGCAGAACGGACCTGGAGATTCAATATGAAACCTTGAGTGAGGAGATGACTTACCTGAAAAAGAACCACAAGGAGGTAAGAGTCGCTGGTCGGTCTCTCTGCCTTCCCTACCCCCACACACACCTGTGCCTGATGCGAGCTAACAACGTGCCTGCCCTCGTACAGAGGATACACTTGCTCACCGGGCGGCGAAGGCTGACCTGTCCATCCGCACTGAGCTGCTGGTATAGATCCACCTCATTCTCTTGTCTGGTTTCCCATGGGAAAAAGCAAGGAACCACGTTTTCCAGACCAATCAGGGTTATAACATCAGTGTTGGGCTGTGTAATTAGAGCTATGTTAAAAAGATCCACACAAGAGATTATGCTCAATTAGATAGAATGAACATACTTTAAGGACTTCCTGAGAAGCCTGGATTTAAATCTTTCTACAACAGTGGCACATTTAAAACACTAAAACATTAATTTCGTATATACATTGAGTATATATACTTCACACTATCGCATATTCTTAATAGATGTGGCCATAAAAATGAATCTCCAATTACACTGTTATACCAGAATTTACACTTCCAGGCACAGAGCATAGTTCCAGAAGGGGTCACTTTTGGGGGTTTTGGGGGGGAGGTAGTGTCAAGAGTTCTTTTAATTTTTTTTTAGTTTATTAGTACATGTGTATAGTGCATAATGTTCACATTCCTTGTAGCTGGGAAGTTGGCACATGTCATAACATATCTTCATTCCTTTTTCTCATCTCCTCTCCTTCCGTCTGTCCCTCACCCATCCCTGTTCCCTTCCTGTTTTGTTTTGGGGTTTTTTGCACATGTTTGCAGTGCCTAATGATTGCATTCCTCGTGTGGAGTTGGTATGCGTATGTAACACATCCTGATTCCTCTTTTCATCTTCTATCCCTTCCCTCTCTCCCCTCCCCTCCATCCCTCGCTGCCCTGCCTGTCTGAGAACAACCTGTCCCCTACTTCCTATTCCTATTATCTATCTTTACAACATGGGTCACTTTTGGAAGTGACATTCAAAATCAGATCAGGCAACAATTTTTTCTTTGGGATTGTTTTTAGAGCTACTTTTTTTTTTTTAAGTCTATCCTTTGAAAATGAATTTGGTATTTTTAAACAATCAAAAACATCCATAGTCAACCCAAAATGTGTGTGTGTGTTTGTGTGTGTGTGTGCATGTGTGTGTATGCATTCCATGATAGTTACTCAACAAATTTTTAATGAATTGGGAGCAATTGATTTTTTTACTTACGGGGAGGCATTAAAAAATCAGTTGTTTCTAATTCACTCAAAAGTTGTTGAGCAACTGCAATAGATATAATATATATCCTCAAGAGTAAAATCCAAATACAGGGAGAAAAGGCAGAGCCCAGCAAGGACACTAGAGCAGCCTGAGGGCTTCCCTGAGGAGGAAAGAAGCCTCTGTAACCATATTCAGATCAGCCCAGGGCAGAGAGGAGAGACACTGCGGCAGACGCACACCGGTCTGAGTGCCTTCTGTTTGCAGCCTTAGAGGTGATGCTGTTGTTCACGGTTAGGACTGAGTCAGTGCACCCTAACAGTGCACTGCTCAGATGGAGCCACGTATAGACTTTGACTGCAAAATAGATTCAGCTTCATTCATGATAGCAATCTTTTTTTCTTTTTTGTGGTACTGGGAATTGACCCCAGGGCCTTTGCACTGCCTCTATCTCCAGTCCCTTTCAAATTTTTTATAATCTTGAGACAAGTTCTCATTAAATGGCTAAGATACCCAGACTGGGCTTGAATTTGTGACCCTCCTGCCTCCGCCAATAACCAGCATTTTTAAGTATTTATAGACCAGGCAGTATTACTAACACTTGCTATTATTAGTCCTTTCACTTCTTTGTAACAACCCAAAGAAGAGTTGTTAACTAGCTTCGAATTTTAGATAAGTACATCAAAACTTAAATAGGTCAATCAACTTTCCCAAATTCACGCAGCTACTGTGAGGCAGACAGAATTTACTAAGATCGTCTGATCCCACGACCAGCAGACTTGGGGGTGTCCACACGCTGGCCTAACAGGCTACTGGATTCTTCCTTCTGCAGGGCTGCACACACCCATGCACATATTTGTATCTCTTTGTGGTCCCTGCAGTTGTACAGAATCGCTCAAACTCCACCCTTTGGCTGTGTTCACGCCGCCAGTGCTCAGGGCGCAGCTGCATTTAGGACACCGAGCTGCTCTCAGCTGGAAGGAGGCACGTCCTCCAGGGTGGTGACATTTTCTCTCTAAACAAGTAGAATAAAAAATGGAGGACCATTGGTTTTCAGAACTTTTTATTAGGAAAAGGATTTTAGACTTGTTGTGGACAGCAGAGCTAAAACTGACGAGTTGGAGTCGTAGGAGCCAGAGTTTGGCTGGTGGGGACAAGAGCTCTCCATAACAATAAAAACTCTTCAGAAACAGGCTGCTGTGTAAGGCAGTGAGTCCACCATCCAGCAGAGGTAAGTGGAAGGGACAGGAATATAAACGGGGGGGGGGGGGGGGTCCCTAAACAGCCTGGGAAGGGGACACCAGACGACCTCCACGGCCCCTCCAAAGCTTCTGTAAGCGTCTAGGCTTCCTTGCAGGGCCGAGCTGACCCTGTGTCTGCTCCTAGGAAATGCAAGTTCTGCAGTGCGCGGCCGGGGGCAACGTGAACGTGGAGATGAACGCAGCCCCCGGCGTGGACCTCACGGTGCTGCTGAACAACATGCGGGCCGAGTACGAGGCGCTGGCCGAGCAGAACCGCCAGGACGCGGAGGCCTGGTTCAACGAAAAGGTGACTCACGTCCCACAAACCTCCCCTGTGCCCATGCGTGGTGCCCACGACGCTAAGCTTTGCGGCCTCGCTTGCATCCTTGCAGAGCGCTTCCCTGCAACAGCAGATCTCTGAGGACGTCGGGGCCACCACCTCGGCCCGCAACGAGCTAACCGAAATGAAGCGCACCCTGCAGACCCTGGAAATCGAACTGCAGTCGCTCCTGGCCACGGTATGCCGAGGACAGCGTCTTCCCTCTCCTGGCTTCCTTTGCAATATGTAGTGATCGGTTTGAAAGCCCTGACAGTGTTGAAAAATGTCCGCGTGTGTTTTTATAATTACCCAGACACGTAAGCAAAGAATAGCACTGTCTTTAGAGTAGCTCAAACAACTCCAAGGCCTCGGGTCTGTTCTACAGAAAAGAAAGGTTTGCCCGTGGAAAGCAGTGGCGCAGAGCATCTGAACTACGCATCGGTGTGAAAGCTAAAATGATGGCAGGAAAAGCTGCCAGGAGGAGGGAGTCCGACGTGAAGGGTATTTCTGCTGCTCTGTGTCTGACCCGAGGTCTCTTTGTGGTCATGACAGAAACACTCGCTGGAGTGCTCCCTGAGTGAGACCGAGGGCAACTACTGCTCACAGCTGGCCCAGATCCAGGCGAGGATCGCGGCCCTCGAGGAGCAGCTGCACCAGGTCAGGACCGAGACCGAGGGCCAGAAACTCGAGTACGAGCAGCTCCTGGACATCAAGGTGCACCTGGAGAAGGAGATCGAGACCTACTGCCGCCTCATAGACGGAGACGAAGGGTAAGCAAAGAAACGGGTGGACGTGCACAACATCCATGGACTCAGCCCTCTGCGTCCACGAGCTCCGCATCCTTAGGTTCGGTCAACCACGGGGGGAAAATACTGGAAAATAAAAAACTGTATCTGTACTGAACATGTACAGAGATTTTTCTTGCCATCATTCCCTAAAGAACACAACTATTTACATAGTGTTTGTACTGCATTAGGTATTATAAGGAATCTGGAAATGATGTGAAGTATATGGGAAGAAGTCCATAGATCGTACACAAAACCTATGCCATTTTGTAGAAGGGGCCTGAGCATCCTGGGGTTTTGGGCTCTGCTGGGGTCCTGGACCCCATCGCTACCTACACTGAGAGAACAACTTACCTTCCAATTTGCTTTAAACTTAGACCCCTGGGCACTGAACGTGAACGAAGGTAGCTGCATTTATTATTATCACAAATGGTAATACTCTACTGCTGAGATATAAATTAGCAACGCTTTATCAAATAAAAATATAAAAAGCCCTGTGTTTCAGGTATGAAGATTAAAATATCACTCCTTCATGGTAATGCCAAGCAGGTTCAACTGGGTAATGCACCGAACATGTTCTCACCAAAGAACAAAAGAAAACCTAATCGTGGACCTAGAATTGAAGGAATTGACTCTCATGTGCTGTCTGTGGTGATGTTTTCACAGGGCTTGTAAGTCTGGAGGTTATAAATCGAAAGATTTTGGAGCCAGTAACATGGGAAATCAAATCAAAGGTAATTGAAATGAAATTCCATGTTATGCTCTACTTCATTTTCAACACACAGTTGGTGGGGCTGGGGATTTAGCTCAGTGGTTCCGGGGCCTGCCTCACAAGCACAAGGTCCCGAGTCTGATCCCCGGTACCAAAAAAAACAAAAAAACAAAAAAACACAGTTGGTGGCTTTTCTATTACCATGGCTTAGTAACAGCAGGTGTAATACAGATTTATACTAGACATCAGCACATGTCTAACTTTAATGATGCATGTTCACTTTATACACCCAGTTGCTATAAGTTTACCTAATCAAGTAGTCAAAATTCCCCAAACATGAGCCTAAGTATTTGTGCTTACTGTCTGTAGTATTATTCTCTGATAGGATTTCTTTTTCATCTCTTCTGACTCTCTAAAATCTCCTTATGTTTTAATATTTCAGATCCAATCAAAGCCATAGTGGTTAAGAAAGTCCTTGAGGAGGTCGATCAACGTAGCAAGATACTGACTACCAGACTCCACTCCCTGGAAGACAAACCTCAGAACAATTAACAGAGGGCACTGCCAGAGACCCTCGAGAAGAAAAGGCACTGAAATGTGTCTGGGGAAAATGAACACGTCTAAAGGGAATGCCTGCCCTGCTGTCTTTCTGTCCTTTCTCTTTCTGGGCCATCAACCCGTTCAGTGGAAGAAGGTCACACCGAAATCTGTTGCCAATTCTTCCTACTCAATAAACTTTCTTCCTTTTGGCAAGTTATTACCGGTGATGCTGTTTTACTTTAAAATGTTTACGAGTGATACAGATACAGTGGTACCTCGGTTCTCAAACTTAACTCTTTCCACAATTCTGGTCACAAACCAAGTTGGGTGAGAACCCAATCAAATTTCCCCATCAGGTCAACATTATTAAAGCTAACCATTGAATTTGATTCAGTTCTTGTTCAATTCAGCGTGTGACCAGAATTACGGAATTAAGTTCAGAACAGAGAAACTATTGTAGGAACATTTAACGGTTTTTAATTTTATGAAAATTTTTTTTAAATAACTAGTTTGCCCCCAGAATTTCATAAAATTTTCTCAATAATTCAAATTAGACAAATTCAGGAGGGAGAAATATATTTCTGCCTAAATCCTTAATTTGCCATACTTTAACCTAATAAGAAGCTTATTTCCTTTCATAGTTGCTGAAATGTATGCATTTCAGGTTCTTCATCTATAAATGAAGAATATGAAAGCACTACTTTCAAATAATTATTGTGGTGAAGATTAAACAAATATATTGTTATAAAACTCCCTTATGAGACAAGTACTTGAATACTTTAATTTTTAATACTTAGTATTTATAATGCTTTAATGTCCAAATCTCATTTCTCTTATGGATATACATTCAAGCAATATTCCAAATATAAGAGACTTTAACATCAAAGTTCCCGTTTAGACTCAAAGTGCTATTAATGGAGTCATCTACTTGTCCTACGCAGTTGATGTTTCCAGCTCTCTTGACCAATGGATTCATCCCTAATACAGGAAAATAAGCTAGATGAACTGAAAACAATTTTTTCTGATCAAATGCTACACCTAGATTCTTGGTACTGTTTGTATAAAGAAGATAAAAAATGAAATTTAAAATCACAACATTTAGATTCTATACTAGATTAGACACAGTGGGAGAGAGAATTAGTAAAGTAGAGTGAGGAGTTATCTGGACTTCAGCATAGAGAGAAAAAGGTGGATAAAGTACAGTGAGATTTCATTTCCCATTCTCCAACTTGGCAAGTATCAAAAAGTCTTACTGTACATGAAGATGTGGAAAAACAAAGCTCTTGTCATACTTGTGGGGTTGTAAATACAACCATTTGAAAATGTCTTTGGTTTTACCAAATAAAGTTGCATATGTGCATATTCTGCACAATAGGCTGGTGGCAGGGGAACAGGCTCATTCTCCTGAGGGGAGTCCACCCAGGTCCCCCGCTCTGTAACACCTATTTCCTCACTTTGTTGTCATTTCGTTCACCCATTCATCTTGTGACTCAGCCAACAGTAACCTCTTGACACCAGATCTGTTTTTATCATCTCTGAATCCTCAGGGCCTACCTCAGATTCAGAGCTGAATGAATAACAATATGACTCAGGCTTGTACCAAAAACAATTTGAATCTGCACCTAAGACTTGAAAGGAATTTAAATAATTAGTTATTGAAACACTTACATGCCAAAATAAACTTGGGTCATTCCACTCCGTATGGTACTTAGCATAATAAATCTCCAAAAGACATCTACGAAAAGCAGTGCAAAAGAATCAGATAATGAACCGGAAGTAGGGGGTGGATTGTATACTTGTCTTCCTGAGATAACTTAGGCCACACTGTGTATTGAAACAAGGAACCATGCTGTAGTAATATGACCAAACTGCCAGTAAAAGCAGCGATCCTCAGTTCCGTTCAAAGTAAGTCTCCTGTGGGATAAACAGCAGGTTAGCCCCACACCAAACACTGGGACGTGCATTCTCCTCCCTACTCCCAGGAGCGAACTGTTACCATCGAAGTTTACCTGGAAGGAGTGGGCAGGTCATGCCCCACGCCAGGATGCCCACATCACACGCACTCCCCAAGCTGGGAGCCCAGGGAGGGAGGCAACTCCTTCCAATGTACAGAGTTACAGAGAAGGCTGCAGAGGTTCTGGCACAAGCCACCAAACACCAAAGCACCTAGCAAGGCTGAGCAGTCTCTGTGTGGGCTCCCCTGCACTCTCTACCGTGAGCCAGGCCCTGCCCGCCATACATCTGATGAACGAACCAAAGACATGGCAGACTAAAGGAGAACAGTCTCCAACTGACTTATTGGAGAGGGCAGCATTGAGGAGAGGCTGAGAGAAGATTGTCAGGGTTTGGAACAATTTCTGCTCCTTTCCAGCTGTCTTTTCTTGGGCAAAAGTCATCTGGAGGCTTCATTCCTCAGTTTCCCCATCTGTGCAGGGGGAGCAGCAATGGTCACACCTATTTCAGAGGGTTGTTGGCAGGATTAAGCAGCCAATCTGTGCACTTTAGAGAATTCTTGGTTCATGTAAGACTTCAATAAATGTATCAAGTATGATGAGGAGGAAATGAAACGTGAAAATTAATTCCATGTTATCTAAAACTCTGAAGATACGAGAGAGCTTAGAGGCCTTCTGACCATGCCACGCTTCCTCACGAGGTGACTGAGACCCCAGGAGATGAAGGGGTTGACCCAGAGTCATCCCTGAGACTCGGGATGAGGCCATTGTCTTCTCAACCCTCTCGAAAGTGAACTAGATAATTCTCCTTGCTTTACAGTTAGTCTCGAGCAACAAGTTGAATAAATCGGCCAATTGAAATGAAAGCATTCAGAAACACATGACCTAACCCCAAAGAATGTGTTGCCAAAATGACAAGTCTTACAAGGAACATAGAGAGAACGTGACTCCTAATCCTAGCCTTTGTGACACTAATGCCCACAGCGCAGGCAGGACGCCTAAGATGCTTATGGCGTGTGGCACCGGCCCGCCCACCAGGACGATCCTTCCCAGAGGGGAGATGCTTCCAATGCTCAGACTAGCATCAAAGGCAGGAAGCAGCTGAAAGCTGCCCAGAAGGGGGCAGGAACATCACTGCCAGGCTCCGGGGGGCTTCCTATGGGCTAGATGTGGAAAGAGGCTTATTTATACACAGTACTGAGAGACCGTGGCTATGATTTTTGAGTTATCCAGCGGACTCACTAACTTTGAACTATAACCCGAAGTTCTCAGTCCCCACCAGCCTCCAGGCTGCACTGCAGTCTCCTTAACATTCACAGACTGGTTTAGTTTGTCTAGTTCTTTAGAAAACTACACGCAGAACCTGCGGCTCCTCGTCTTTTCCACTGTAATCGAATGCTCTGCCCTAGGCTGTTGACAGTCTCGTCTCATGGTGCGCTACAATTAATTAGGAGCCATCGATTGAAAGGGAAGGAAGACAATAAAAGCCCCCTTCCTCCTGCTGTCTGAGTTCTGTTGTGCAGAGCGGTGTTGGGAACCCAGAACCATCTTCAGTCCCAAGAAGGCCTCACCAAACTCACCCGTGGTGTGAGACTGGGGTTGTGGCTTATCACGGGGAAAAGACTAAGACTAGCAAAGGTTAAAGGCACGAAGCGGGGAGTCCAGGAGAGGCCAGGCACAAGCTTCAGCTGTCCTTTCACAGAGAGCCACACATCGATGCTGTGTGACATCACATGGGTAACCCTGCTAGCCAGGGAAGCTGGCCCAAACCTGGTGTCCAGGGTCAGCCACCCAGCTATACAGTGCCTGTGTGATATTTGTAAACTGCTACAAAGGGGCAGACTATAAGGGGTAGGCTGAATTTCGTGTGTAAAGATCCTGGAAATTGGGAGATCCACATCCTTTTCCCATAAACTTCATTTCCTCAGGTACAACACCTGTCAGCCTGGAGATTTCCTCAAGAAAAGTGGATTTTCCAGCACACAGAGGGAACTCACAACAATGTAGGAAAATGCGTGCTTGACAGGAATCAAAACACCCAGGTTGGAACCCAGTTCTCACACTAGTGAACTATGTTAAGTAGAAGAAAAGATCACCATAGAACTTTAGCTTTGTTCTCTTTAAAAATCCCCTGCCTGCGTCTGACAGCCCTCATAGTTATTATAGATGTGTGTGTACAAGAGTGTTTGAAAACTACAGAACGGTGCAGAAATGCAAAGGCATCAATAGCAAAAGAGATTAGACTAGAAAATGATGTCTACGAAAAGAGCAAAAAGCCTTGAATCTGACAAATCATTAGAACAAATTTTTGAAGAGTGGCACAAGGAGGACAAGGGAGAGTGACATAGGCAGTGGTGTGGGTTTCCCTGCGGTCCGCACTCCTGTGGTTAAGGCCGTGTCAGGATGCAGGGCTGGGTGCTGCAAAGGTCGCCTTTTCCTGGGAGAAAAACACAATCGGACCCATAGTTACTGGCCTTCGGCAAAAGCAAGCTGCTGACTTCAAAATCAAAATCAACAGGGATTTGGTTCAGCCAAGATGGCCAAAACTATTACCTGGTAATTGAAGAACTAATGAGTCAAGAAAGGAACCTGTCTTCTTCAACTTCTGCATTACGGGTTGTAGTTTTATGGGATTTTTAAAATCAAAAAATAATCCATTGCACCATACATGGTTTTCTATGTTTTATAGTAACTGCTGCTAGTGATTAAAATCCAAGCATTATTTTTAATGGGCAAAACAGAATGATAACTGATGACGCTGATTTGTTGTTAAAAACAAAAATGATCCACAGTTCAAAGGGAGTTATGATCTAGAGTTGTTTATAAATGTTTTTGCTTGGCGCATGCCTGTTATCCCAGCTCTTGGGAGGCTGAGGCAGGAGGATCACCCTAAATTAGAGGCCAGCCTGGGCTACATAGTGAGTTCAAGACTAGCCTGGACTACATAGCGAGACATGACTCCAAAAGACAAAAAACAAAATCAAATAAATAAATGTTTTTACTTAACACATCTCCCACGTTCTGTATGTCAGGCATGGCTCCTGTCCTTTATAATTAAAACTT